AGTCAATCAAATCAGTTGGAAGTTTCTGTGGAAAGGCGTGTGGGTGCTCCTTTTGTCCAGTCATTGCCTGATATAAGGAAAACCCATATGTGGGAGAGTTGGGTTGAAATCAATTTTTCTGGAAAATGTAATCACTTTTCAGTGGAACATCCATTGCAACATTTGTGCCAAGCTAATAGCGATAGAAACAACCTAACCTTTTGTACAGGCTTTCTGTTGTTCCCTTTTGCAGAAAAATGACTGCTGCTTCTTTAAGTCATGGGACTTCATGTTTGCTGTGACAGCTTTCCAATTGTTAAATAAACTCTGACCAGGAGCAGCTGTCAGGCAGATATTGCACTGCAGGCTTCACTTCAAAGCAGTACCAGACAAGCATTTCTGTGCCCAGAGGCTCTTTCATTTTTTTTAAGGGGCACATGTTTTAAGTAAATGCTGTGAGATAATATGATCCCTTATTAACAACAACAACAACAAAAGTTGCATTTTAAGTTATGTTTTGGGTTGTGATTGTTTGTAGTTCAGAAAAGCAGTCTAGGAGAAACATGAAATATCTACAGTGTATGCTACAAAGAGAATTTTGTGTGGTGCCAAGATGGGAGAAGTGAGACACAGCAATACTGATGTTAGACCTTAAAGTAATACTAATGATTTTACTTAAATTCTTGTTGGAAAGTAGAATAAATATACAAAGCTTCCTCAGAATTTTAGAAGTCATTTTGTTATTTGTGTCTCTGACATTGAGCTAGAAAAAAAAAAAAAAAAACCCTTCTAAATTATTAAGTTTTGTTATGTTATATCCTGTTGTACTAGCTACTGTCCAAGCTGAGTGAGAAAAAGAAAATTTGTGCTAGAGAAAGTACATTAGGTAAAAATGTATACATGACAAAAAAAAAAAAAAAAAAGTTTTTTGAGGTAAATGTATAGTCAAGATTAGAAGAACCATTCTTAATTAGGTTTCGGTTACAGAAGGGGAGGGAATTTGACATTAAATTAGAATGAAGGTGGACTTCTTCCTTTCCATCAAACCTAATACTATCTAACATAACTTGCATAAAAGCCGAGCATGTAGCCTAGCTATACTGGGGATCCTAGACCAAGAAATCAAGCTGTCTAGGGCTCCAGTAGAAGTAAAGGGGTGACTCTGGAGATGCCTTTTTCCACTGTCTGTAGCACAAGAACCTCATTCAAAAGAAAAACAAGTTAAAAAAAGGGAGAAATCAAACACCAGCCTAGGCAACCGTTGTATAAGCAATGTGAATCCTGGGCTATGTGGAGGCTGAAAGTTTAGAGGAGACATAAGAAGTATTTACTTAAAATCAAGCATATTTTTGCCAGTTAAAGAGGAAAGCATTCTCTATTTCGTTTGTGAATAATAGAAATAATAATAACAAGCAGTTCATGTTTTTAAGAGTAACTTAATGCAGTACTTCAAGGTTAGCTGACTAATTAATATGTTTTCTCACCATTCCAGTTTCCTTTCAGGGACAAAGAAGAAAATACCCTTTAAAAACCATAGCAAATGGAAATGAAAAAAGTCGATTTAAAAATCAATCCCCTCTGACTTTTTTCTGTCCAACCTTCTTAGAAATAACACTGAGAATCTTTTTGGATCACTGTTCAATTATTTATTTTACGGTTTAGAAAATGCTTTTGGCTAGTGGGTTTCACTTTTTCACTTTTTGTATATCTCATTCTCTGAAACAGAAAAAAAAAAAAAAAAACAGTAGATACATGCATTTTTTTTCTTTTGTTCACACTTACGCTTATGAGTTCATATTGTTCTCACAGATACGTTAATTTATTTTATACCTGATCTGGAAAGAAAAGCATGGAAAGTTAAAATTTAGGAGTGCTAGCATAAAGATGGAATCAATAAGGTCCTAAATCCAAATATGCATCATTTCTATGGTGCCATGTTAGAGTTATAGGATGTGAATGAGCAAAGAGATAAGGCAGTAAGAGTACTCTGTGTGATACAATCAAGGACAGAAATAAATACTGATCATGTCTCTGTTGACACGTTGCAGCTATTAACCTTTGCTGAAACTCCACAGAAAAGCATCAACATTAACCTGATGGGGTATTCTTGTTATCTGGTTTGGAGAGAGGTAGCAAATAGACTAAGTGTTGAAGCATACATTCACAAAAGAATGGGAAAATAGTCTAAAGTTCAGCATAAAAAGTAGGTAGGAGAAAATTCTTACTCCACTTACGAGATGTTGCTTTGTCTGTTAGTTGTATGTAGGTAGCTTTTGTTCTAAGATTTCTCATTATAGTCACTGAAGCTCCACTAGCACATAATAACCCTGAGGTTGGGTTCATACATGAACATTTTCTTACCATGTTCCTAAGCCTTTATGTTTGCAAATGAAGAGGAGTGTCAATAAAAAATAAAATATAGGCATTTTACCTTGACATTCTTCCATCTGTGCTAGAAATTGGTCTTCACCATTTGCAGGACTGAGGGCTTTAGTTGAGTACTTGTCTGAAACACATTCATTAAATTCAAGTTGGAAATTACAGGGCTTAAGCAACTAATCCAGTTTTGACTAAGGGAGCAGAAAGGCAAGTTGTTGGCTTTGTGATGGGTGTATTTGTAAATGTGGAGTGCCACTCTAATACCTCCTGGGTCTATGGAACTAACCATTAAAAACAAAAAGATAATGTGTTTGTGTTTGCGAGTACTGGGTATATCAAACATTACGCTAATATGAAGGGTTATAATGGCAGTCTAAGGGATGAAGTAATGTTTAACAGCTTGAACAGGGAGATATAAATCGCTATATAGCTCTTCTGTTCTGTACACAGTCAGCAAAAAGTATTAAATCCTCGCACTATGAGCTGTGAATAAATGATATTATCATTAATGGCTATAACTAGCAAAAAACCTTTTGGAGTGTTTTCTGTTATAACACTGATAATGAATATGTCTGGTGCACTGAGAAGACTTTAAAGGACACAGAGTCTTCTGAAAAGTTTCTAACCTATAGAAACTAGAACAATTTTCTGTGATGAACAAGACTAGAGAAATAACTTCAGTGGTAAAGTTTTTTAATCAATTATGAATCCAGTGGGAAAATAATGGAAGTGCACTGGAGACAGAGTAAAATCACTGATATTTATCCAAGATTTTGAAGGGAAAAATAAAAGATAAAGCACAATAGAAAATAAAAGATAACGACACAGCAGATGAGAGTACCTAACAATCCAAGAGAGTAGCCGGAGATAGAAGATGAAATCAGCAGTGTCACAGGTGGAAGCCATGGTTAATGAGAAACCATGGTAACAATTTGCCAGTTGCTTAAGCATTTTTTTGTGAAGAATGCTGAGTCATAAATGTAAGGCTCTCTTCTGAATTGCATGAAAGCTGAATTCAGTTTCTGCTACAGACTTTTTGTGTAAGGCCTTGAAAATGCTTTGAACTAAAACTTCAGAAAGTTGCTGCTTACTTTGTCAGAGTAATCTGCTTGTGGTCTGTCAAAATACAATTCAAGAAAGACTGTACATTGATTAGGAAGCCACCTAATACTGACTGGGAGGAGGGATTTGTCATAAATTTGGCACTTTGTCAAACTCGTACCTTTCTGTCTGTGTAGTTCCTGTTCTAGCAGACATTATTTCGGGCTGCTTCACATTAGAAGTCAGTCCCAACTCTTCTTTTCATAGAATCATATAATCTTTTGAATTGGAAGAGACCCTTAAAGGTAGTCTAGTCCAGCCTCCTGTAGTGAACAGGAACATCTACAGCTAGATCAAGATACTCAGAGCCTGGTCCAGCCTGGGTTTGCATGTCTCCAAAAACAGGGCATTTACCACCTCTCTGGGCTACCTGGTTCAGTGTTTCACTACACTTATTGAAAAATAACCTTTATCCTTCTATCCAATCAAATTGGACATTTGGATGACTGATGCCTTTCTTCTATAGCATGAAGAAGTATCCTTTAATAAAATTTTGAAGTCACAACAACACAATAGTGTCTGTACCCTTTTAAGATAGGGACTGTTGTTTAATGCAAAATGTATCAATGATGGAAGGAAGCAGCTAAAGCAAGCCTCTTTCTTATTCTTACGAATTTTCCGTATTGAAGCAAAAATGGAGTCTATCTTTTCCATCTCTTTTCTACTTTCATAAATAATCTTAGGTGTCATTCCTCCTGTATCACAATAAGGCTAGAAAATGGCTAGGATAAGTATCTCTTCCAGGTTTCAGAGCACAGAGCTACAATAATGACAGGGATGATACGATGGATGAGTTGGTGACCAGTTTTTCTCACTAGGCAGCCTAGTCCACCTTCTTCTGTCACTAGAATAAGCATAGGTCTCACTGGAATAAACTAATGCCATGGCTCCTTTCCTGCTACAAAACATGACAGGGCATATGAACATACGTATTGGATCCAATGCTTCCACAAAGAGGCAGATTTACTGGGCTTAGGGAGTGAAGCAGGCATAGCAAGAGAAGCAGCCAGGAGCAGGTTCCCCTTGCCAGAACAACTCGTGCCACCTACGCTGGCTGCAGCCTATCCTGCTGCTGCTTCCATGAAGCATCCAAAGAGAAGCTGCAGGCCAGAAGATTTGTTCTTGTTTGTAAGCCAGCTACTAGTTGCTGTTTCTCTTTGCTCGTGCACTTTGTTAGGAGAGGGATCTCAAGACCATCCAGAAAGATCTTTTGAGTGAGCTGCAGGTTGTCCTTGGGAATACATTTTTTTATGCAAAATCAACATATTCTGCATTTTTGCCTTTTTTGTGTTCTATATAATTGCATACAAGTTCTTCACATGTTAGACTATTGAAAAGGTATTGCTAAGAGCGGGAAAAAAGGAAAATAGAGATCATATCTTAAGCAGATTCACAGCTGTATCAGGTAGAATTTAGTGTCTGTCTGTCACCTGAAAAGTTATCTGCTGGCTTTTTTTGTGTGTGTGTTTGTGATCTTCATATATATTTGCATTGAATTGATTGAATTTCTCTTATTTCTTTTTTTATTATTATTTCTGTAGGATAAAATCATGGGTAGATAAGATGCAAGAAGACCTCATAACATTGGCACGAACTGCAAGTGGAGTGGAACAGCTTGCTGCGGTGAGTTGGAAAATGTGCCTTACAATGCACACCATTCATTGCACTTTCTAGCCATTACAATAACTTTAATCCCAACACAGCAAAAAGATTTTAAGTTAAACTCTGCAGTGTTTCTCTTCTACAGTGCTTATTGAGAGAGAAATGAATAACATACATCCACCAGTTCACTATTTTTGTGTTGCAGCACTTGCTCGCTGCTAATATTTAATCAGCTTTGCAGAAATAGGGCTTACCATTATTGCAACACTCCCACCTGAAGCAAGTGTTGTTATATGTTTGTCAGATATGGTATCCAGGAAGTAACCATTCACAGTAATGGAATATTCTGTTCTGTATTAACACGGGAAATCATTTTTTTACACATATTCACTGCACTGAGGCAGTCTTTGGTTACAATAAACACAGATGAGAAAGAAATTTATATTCAGCCATTCTAATTTAATCTGAAGTGTGTTTTAGGGATTAACATAATTATTGCATCATTGAAAATTTATATTTTTTTGTTATATTTCTTTCATAGAGTCTAAAAATACATTCTGAGATGGCAGAACAATGAATTCACAATTCAGAATCTGTCAGGATTAGGCTGTGTAGATAACGGTGTGTGTATATCATCATCCAGTATGCATCCACAAGTTCATATATTCCCCCTTCTTTATCCTTGTTCTTTCTGACAAAGGAAAGGCTGTGGCAATGTTTGTATACGAGGAGCATTAAAGAAGATTGCAAAGATGATTTTAGTTCTGGCCTTTCCTAGTACAAGAGTACTTGCTATTGCAGCAAAATCTAAGACAGATGCAGTTTATAGTCTTTGAAACAAACAAAAAACAAAATCTTGACTGAAAACAGTATCTTGAAATCCTATCACAAAGCATCAGATTGATACATACATGGGGTTTCCAGCACAGGATCTCAACAACACAGAAATGTCTATCACTTGAGCTTTCTTGACAAACTGGTAAAGTTATTCTAGCATGGAATGCCAATGGGAGTTTTTGTAGGAGGATTTCACACATATCGGCTGACGAAGGAAAACAAGGCTTTTGTATCATGTCTCTTACTTCAGTTTTGTGGTGAGGAGTTTCTGTTAAGATCTTTTTTGTTCATCATACCCCTCCATGCTTGCTGTGTCTTTTTCCCCATGTGGTGGTTTCACGTGAACTTCAGTGTGCTGCTTTATCACTCCTCAAAAGGACAAGGGGAGAAAAATGATGAAAAGAAATGATTTTGTGTGTTGACCTATGAACAGGGAGAACACTCACCAATTACCCAGTTACTGTCACAAGCAAAACAGACTCAGCATAATGTAGTTTAATATAATTTATTACCTATTGCTAAGAGACTAGACCAGTGAGAACTAAAAGCAAACTAAAATCAACCTCCTGCCCCTGTACTCTGCCGCAGTCCATCATTTTCTTCCTTCTCTCTCAAGCAGTGCAGGGGAATGTAGAATGAGGGCTGCAGTCAGTCCATAATGCTTCGTCTCTGCCATCTTCCTCCATGGTCACCCTCTGCCTGAGCCTCAGCATGGGGTCTTTCCCATGGGATGCCATCCTTCCTGAAACGACCCCATGTGGAGCCACGGCTTTCCAAGCACTGCTCCAAAATAGGGCCATACCATGGAGCCCACACTTCACTGGCCACTGGCACCACTCCAGCATTGTCCCCCAGCCTTCCTGCTGCACTGCAGACTTCTCCCCATGGGCTGCAGCTTCAGCCTGGGATTGCTCCTGTGGGTACTCTCTACGGGCTGTCTCTCCTTCAAGCTACATTCACTGCTTCACTGTGTATTCCTCCATGCATGCATGTGGAGATCTGCTCCAAGTGGTGCCTATGGACTGCAGGGAACAGCCTGCTCCATCATAGCCTCTACTGGGTTGCAGGAAACTACTGTTTCCTGCCTGGAACACCTCCTTCCCTTCTGCACTGACCTTGGGCCCTTAAGTTTCATTTCCCTCTTTTCATACTCCTCTCTCCCAGCTGCTGTTGCATAATATTTTTCTTTACTTAAATGTGTTATCAATGACGCAGAGCCAACATTGGTTGTGGCTCTGTGGAGGGTCTCTTTAGGAGCAGTTGGATCTGGCTCTGATCTGACATGGCACAAACTGCGGGACTGTGCTCACAGAGGCTACCCTTGCTGCCCTCAAAGTACCATAATATTGCCACACATACCTAATACACTCCACTATTCTGTCTTCAGCTTCATATACCTGACTCACCACTGGACTTTCCATTCCATTCCCATTATGCTGGTTGGGCTGTCTTCCCTCTTTTCGCAGTACATTTGTGTCTCAGTTTCCTCTTTTTCTGCATAGCCTGTCTGCCTTTCTCATTTACATTGCCTTTTAATCCCAATTTTAGAATCTCTGTCCTCAGGTTTTTCCAGTTCACAATCTCATTCTGGACTCTTTTTTGCCTTACATTTCTAAAACTTTCTGTCCAAGTATGTTTGGCCAGCCTGCCCATTACTATTACTGCATCTCTTTATTTTTTTCAGCTTTCCCTTCATCACCACTTCTCAGATTCAGACATGTCGTTTTCTCCTCTGCTCTAGTACTACTTTTCCTCTCTTTTCCAGTCTCTTCTCTCCTTATTCTTTGCCTGCCATTTTCTAGTCTGTTGCCATCTATCTCTGCATCCCAATCTTTCATCCTTTGTTCCTCATTCAGTTTTCATCTTTTCTTTCTCCCACTGGTTGAAGCACAGGAGTGATTTAGAGATCTCTAGAGAGACCACATTAAGTGTGATTCTAGCTGCAAAGGAAGTATGACATTCTCTAGGGAATGATGCTGTCTGGGTTGCAATACATCTGCATGTAGGATCTTTTGAATTTAAGTGATAAACCTCTGCAGTGCACTGCAGTTGTTTTTCAGACTAAAATTCAATAAACAATAAAGAGTAAAAAGTGTATCTTTGAAAGACACATATTAAATCTTTAACCTACAGTGAAGGGGCAATAAGATATTTCAAATATAAATGGTTTACAGAAGATTTCTAATTTGAGCCAAATAATGAGTTAATGACCTGACCATTTTGCCTGGCATTTCTGTGCAAATAAAGGACAGTAAAATAGATTACGAAAAGCCAAGAGATTGACACTCTCACTCTTTCCACCGCCTTCTGGGCCCCCTCCCCTCCCCCTAAGGACAGTGTTATTTACTTAAAATTCTTCAGATGTGTGAGCTGCTAAATCAATCCTCTCTTAAAAATTTCTGGGCAAAAAAATGTAACATCACTAGCTATAATTACACTACACCATAGTGACATTCAACATTATCTTGAATACTGTAGGTAAGTTGCTTTTTGAAAGACAGAATTTTCTTGTAGCATAGTTCAAGAAAATCATAAGTTATCTCAGAGGTTATTGATATAGTGGTCAATATTTGTGTGTAATCCTAGGATTAAAAGCACAAAAGGGGGTGTTTCAGTTTAAAATGTCCTTCTGTGGCAAAGCCATTTATTTGACCTAAATTGAGTGATGCCTTTCACTAGCCAAAAGGTTGTTTTTAATTAGCATTCTTCTCTACAAGGGAGAATATAGTCTCTCCCTCTTTTTTGCAGGCAATTCCCACTTTCACATTTTTGAATACATCATCATCATCTATCTGCTCACTGCCTATGAATGTTTAGTTAGTTCTCCTGTGAAATGAACCACAGTCTTACCAAAATGGAGATTACAAGACATTAAAAACAGTGTGTTTTCATGCCTGTCACTTCTATTCACAGAAGTTGCCTTCAGTTGCTCAAGCTTAAAATATGCTTAACCGTTAAGCTGAATTTTCAGCTTTGATTCTGGCTCATTATTTTTACTAACTCCAGAATTCTTTGGACCAAGCCTATAGTCTTCATGTTTTTGGAAAATTTCAAAAAATATTTGCTTATTTGCTTGTTTACCCTCCTCCCACAAAAGCAGGATGTCAGATACAAAGGCAAGGAAAGTAATCTTCAGTTACAAAAAAGTAGACACAACTTTCCATGAACAGCTGTATCAGTGTGTGTAGGGTTAGAAAGTTATTCTTTGTTCAGGTATGTAGGAAGGAGTAATATCTTTCCTTACTCTAGGGAAAATTAGTTTTGATTTGGCCAAGTGATGAAGTCATACGAAGGATATTTAACAGATTTGTATCATAATGGTTTTATAGCTTACTGCCTGGACTGAGTTAAAGAAGTCCCACTGATGTAGGTGAAGTTTGTGTTTGCTTCACACAATAGGATCTTCTACAAAGATAGACAGCTTTCAAAATAGTACGCTCACCACATTCTCAGCTCGTGTGAACTATTTCTTTGCTTAGTCAGGTCCTTTTCAGTTAACTCCATGCTATTTTATGGTGTTTCCATAACTTATTGAAGATGTCTCAGGATTAACTGGTGCTACACATGCTTGTATTTGGAAATTTATTTACTGAATTGCTTCAGTAGTGACTACTTCTGAAACTGTTCATTCTAATGAAAATTTCACACACTCTCTTGTTTGAAATGAGACAGCAATACCTGTAGTAAGCAAAATTGCCAAAAAACTTAGATTCCAGTGAAAAAGAAGTCCTGCATTCAGATTGCACTTATCCATAGCCTTAAACAAACCAATGAGTATAGTTAGAGTAGAAGGAACAGACAAAATGGTTATGTGTAGGAGATGGAGAAGGTGAGAGTTGAGACATAAACCTTAGTTTAGTGATGCTCCTTTACTCACTAAATCATTTTAGCCACGCAAAGAATCCTGATCCAACCAAGAAATGAGCTCAGATTTTCATTTAACTCTGAAGCGTTAACAGCAGATGATTCCACCTCTGAATTTGTTGTGGTAGATTGTAAGTCTGATGGCATGAACACAAATACTAGTGACTTCAGTATGTGAGCTTTTGATCAGGAAGATTGTTGATGTTTAAAATGTAGTTCTTGCTTGTGCTGATCAAGTTTTATTTATACGATATGGAAATACTCTCCATAGAGTCTTCAAAAAATGTTCTTACATACACTTTTAAATACTGTTGTTTTTT